TGTGTGTATGTGTGTGTGTATATATGTACATGCGGGTGTGGATGTGGATGTGGATGCGGATGTGTATAACGAGACATGAAAATGGATATGTATATATAAACGTGTTTGTATGTGTATAAGCATCTAATGCTTACGCACGTGCACATATATATATACATATATATATATATTTATGTATATACATATATATATATGTGCATACATATATATATATATACATACAAGTTTATAATAGTTATATGTATATAGAAGTATATATATATATGTATTCACTTAAAATACACGTTCATAAACTTCTACATGTGCATGCACATACATACATACATACATACACACATACATACACACATACATACACACATGCATGCACACATACATGCACACATACATGCGCACATACATGCACACATACATGCACACATACACATAAAGTAGGCAGGACTTACTGTACTTGTGTGTATATGATTTTGATACACATATCTATCTATCTATATATACATATATATATTTATTTATTTCGACATATACACACTGTAGTATACTACACTGTATATGCTATACGATGCTAGACCATGCTAGACTATGCTAGGCTATGCCATGCTATGCTGTACTTTGCTATGCTATGCTATGCTATACTATGCTGTACTGTCTGTTGCAAAGCTATACTATACTATACTAGACCCTACCATACTATAACTATACTCTACCACACCATACTATACTGCACCCTGCCATACCGTACCATACCTTGCTATACTTCACTATACTATACTATGCTGTACTATGTTATACTATGTTATACTATGCTATACTGTGCTATACTATGCCATACTATGCTATACCATGCTTTACTACATTGTACTGTACTGTACTATACTATACTATAATGCACTATACTACACTGTACGGTATTACAACAAGGTATAACGTAATACAACATCATACAGTAAAATACAACATATCATGTTATGATATATAGATCTATATGCGAACCCCAAGCTCCTTAATGTTTGGAGATCCGAGGCCGATTGCCACCGTTGCCGCCTTGGCTGAGGCTGCTGCAGGCGTGTTCGTTTCTTTTGACTTGCAGTCGACTGCGGGATCTTGGAGGTTTGGCCTATGTCGACGAGTAGTTGTTGTGCTCTGTCTTTGGGGTCCATTTTTGTGGTGGTTTCTGGGAGATCCACAATGTCAGGAATCGAAAGAGCCAACCAAAATCTAGAAAGCACTGTGCAGAAAGCAGGAAGTTCTGAATGTCTGCACTGTCGGGAACTCGAATCTTCAGGAGTTCTGTTACGCCACTAAGCCAACATGGAACATTTCAATGTAGAGCACGTCGTGTCAATCTCGGGCAGAGCAAGCGCGTCAAGACCCGTCGCCACTGTCATCTCGCAGCTTTTTTCCAAGCACTTTGTCCCAGGCCTGTAGCTCTTTTATGGTCTGCAGTTTTTGGGTGCCCCGTTTTGCAGGGGTCCCTCCGTTTGCAGCCACAACAAGAAAAGGTTACACTGCATGACTGCTGACTCTGTTAAGGCTCCCCCGCTGCAGCACGAAGGAAACCAAAGCACTTTGAGCAGTCTCGACCCCTCCATAAGGCTGTAAGGTTGCATTGTACACCCCACTGCGATAAGATCCCTCTGCATGGGACTTGAAGCCTACGACAGGTCCCTCTTAGCACTGCACGAAGCCTTTGTGTCTCTTTCCTTCTGTGGGGCATAACGATCACATGCGTGACGAGCGGGCCTCAAGGCTCAGCCGCTTTTGCTTCCCTTCTGTCTTCCGTGGGGTTGAACGGCATCTCCATGTGTGTATATATATATATATACAGAGTACATATACCCAGCGCATACTACATATACTTAAATATGTATAGATAAAGCTGCCTCCCCCTCCACAGCGACAGAGTATCCGAAAGTCTGGAGCCTGGAGCCAAGTTGCCCATGGGCCACAAAACGCGTTCCCTAAACCTCTAAACCCCTAAACCCTAAACCCTAAACCCTAAACCGTAAACCCTAAACCCACAAACCCCTAAACCCCTAAACCCTAAACCCTGTCTGTTCAGTTCTCTTTTGTTCAGGCTCATCTCTGACGACTCCTCCTGGGCTGCCGACCTTCAAGTCGTCTCAGCCTTTGCCCTCAGCAAGGAGTCTCAACACTTCAGGCGCCCTAAAAGGCCCAAAAGCGAGGGGCCCCGAACTCCCTGAGTTCTCAAAGGAGTTTCAAAGAACTCTGAGGCGCCCTAAAGCGCCCTAAACACTCTAGACCCCGAGTTCTCAGATCTGCTTCTGTCTCCCCCTCTACATAAGCACCTTGCCCGGCAAATATTGGAAAGGGGTCAGAACACACCTAAAGGTGACCGCTGTCAGGAACACCGGCCGTGCGAGAAGCCGAGCCATAGAGTGTCGGTTTTGTCGGTGAACCCGCTCTGCTTGTCACGGCTGATTCGACATGATTCGACCGTGCCACCGTGCCAAGCGCTGTAACGGAGGCGCGAGTTCTGCCCCAGGCCTTGTGGCTGCGGGGGTTTCGAAGCCCGTAGCTGCTATAGCTGCCATAGCCCAAAGCAGAGGAAAGCGCAGTTCCCAGGCAGCGAACGAGGACAGCTCTGCGGGCCTCTGCCCAAGCCTGGCCTTACCAGGCCCATTCCTCTTGCGACTGTCTGGAGATGTTGGCTTTGCCTTGCGGTATCCATTGGTCGCTGAGACAAACGCAGCAGTTCTGTCTTGTCCGCTCGGATTGCTTATCGTCGTTGCCGCTCGGATGAAGGGAGCCACACTAGCTGAGCAACTGACTGTTCTCGTTTGCATCTTATGTCATGCATGGCTTCCACTGCATGCCGCGACCTCAGAGTGCCCTCAACTTGGCAGGGCAAGTTCCAGACCGATGGCGATGATTCCGTTCCGATGATCACGCCGGACATGTTCGCGCGGCGGGCCTCGGAGAGATTTCGGAGCTGAGGAAGTTTGTCGAGGCCTTTCAGAGCCATCTTTCTGGACTCGCATGTTGTCAGGATTTCCATGCAGAGGGAGGAACTTACTTCGTAATGGTCTGTGTTGAACCCCCGAGATAAAACGTGATCTGCAAAGATCGTGATGCTGACAAGGTTCTCGCAGGCTTTGGCCGCACAAGCTCTGGCGCCGGGCCCTATGGAGCTTAGTCATCTTTCGGTCATGCTTGCTGATATGAGCAGTGCACACCAATCTTTGGTGGTGTTAAAATCTGCAGCTACTCATAGCTGTTGACTCTGTCTTGCAAGAATATATGTCGGAGCACAGGAAAGATCTCGCCAGATTGGCTTTTTCCATCGATCCTGGAAATAAACACAACCATGCAATGCACAGGAAACATCCACAGCACACTTTTCTGGGGTGTGGGAAGCGGTGGCGAGGGCGCACTTCCCGTGTTGAAAAAATCAATGTCGCCAAACAGGCCCACTCCACTTCAGTCAGATCGTTCACAATCGGCACGAGATGCTAAACAGTGCGTTCTTCCGCTTTGGAGGAACTCTCGAAGTCATGTTGATGTTTTCGGTATGCTTCGATCCCGAAAACCTCACGGCATGGCAAGGTGTGCCAATCTACAGGCGCTGAGTGATTCGTTCATGCCGAAGGCCGGCAATACCTTGTGCAGATGTTCAAGGAGTTGAGGGGTCTGCGAGGGAAGTGATCGATTGTCGATGTAACGGCATCTTCCCTCTCTGCCGGACCGCGTCTGCAGATGTACATGGGGGATCTTGGCGGAAACGTGGGCAGCTACTGGCGTCTTGGCATCATTCATTCGTGTTGCTTAGCCTCTGCCTTCGCCGCATTTAGCTTCAGAATGAGGATCAGAACTTCGAGCTTCGCATAACAGCGAACGAACCCAAGAAGAGACAGCATCTGTGACCGTAGAAGGTGCTCCCACGATAAACAACACACGCAGCGTGTCTTCCGTGCCGGACATGGGCTACAAACCATAAGTCGAGAATGTAACCCTCTCTCGATCGTCACAGGCACAGCTCAGCCACAGAAGAGCACGCACAGCTCAGTAGGTGAGACGGCATCGGCATCGTTACATTCTGAGGCTACAAGGGGTTGACCTAAGTCGTAGCGTCTTGCGGAAGTCGTTGCGTGTGAGCGTAGACGAAATCGGTACCGCGACCATTGCGGCACTACCAGCGGAGGGTTTAACTCGCGTCAATCTTGTTGAGGAAATACCCATCTTTCTGCGTTGCCAATGGGGTTAAGCAATCCGGGCCCGGCCTGGCATACATCCAAACATCAACCGTTGCAGGGTCCTCGCGCGGACGTGTACATGGGGATACCGAGGAAACGCTCATAAGGCAATTCGCTAGAAGTCGTCTCGCACCGGCAAGTACATGGGTATTTCGAGGTAATGCTCGGGAGCCAGTTGTCTACCGACGTGCAAAACCCAACTAACGCCGGTCGTCACGCTACGAAGCCCTAGCACAGATGGTGTCCTTTCGCAAAAGTCGTCTCGTGCGGGCGTGTACATGGGGATTCCGCGCTGCCACTGATGTGTTTCTGGGTTGGCAACGGGAGGGGCCGCTTACGCACTGCTTACGCGGTCCTTACGCGCAGCTTACGCGAATTGCACCACTCACCACACATTTTTGGACCTCTGCCAAGCTCTCGAACCAGCAATCTCCTTGCATGCAGACGATGCCTGCGATCCTACAGCGTCTCTTGCCCGGGTGCTTCCCAAGTGGGGCGTCTGCATGGGGAATGGTTGGCTTGGTTGTGCTGTGATGCCACTGATGTTTGCCTTGAGTGTGTGCTTGTGAAATCGAGTGTCTACATGGGGAATATCTGGTTCTGCTGCGATATGATTCTACCGACGTGTGTCTTGCGTGGGTGCTTCTGAAATCGGGCATCTACATGGTGAATGGCTCGGTTACCATGTGTTTTTGTCTAGTTGATGCAGCTGCTACTGCTGCAAAGTTGAAAACCCTTCTTGAAACCCTCCGTGCTCCTACTTCTGAAAGGGCGCGTGTCAATGGGGATTCCAATGTTCTCGCATGTTATGATCTACGAAAAGGTTGCAGTTTGCCAGCGCGTGGGCCTGATTTATGATTTATATTGTTTTGAGGCTTCGCCCGAACAGGCTTGCAACACAGCGTGCAGTTGCGGATTCCCGAGATAAACACACTCTGTGCAACGACTTCTGGGCCCCTGCCGCGACTTCACTTTACGCAGCGTGGGCATGCGGTGCCGCGACTTCTTGAACGCTGCCGCGACATAAGTCTACCGCTAGTCGTTTTTGCAATAGAAGTCGTTGCTGGCATCATTCGTGTTCGAGGTTTCAGGCAGAGTCCTTCGATGAGGAAGCGGGGGGCCCCGGAATCGTGTCAAGGATGCTGCGCTCAGATGCAGTGCGCCAGGCACGATGCATTGGGCATAAGGGATTGGGGTGCAAGCCAACATGGAACTATACTACCAGGCAGTAAGATTTCGATCTGAACACCAAGCAACGTCATGTACACAGACAGGTGCACCTGTGAGGTATCTTTCTATCCACTGCAACTCAACAGAACTGCACCTGCCAGATCTCGAAGAGACATGTAGCATGTTCCCTGTAAATGTCTTGCACTTGGGATTGGCGGGTTCATGTCAGACATTCCTTTGACAATTGCAGACCCTGTGACGTCTATTGACCCCAATGCCGTCTCAGACGCACAAAAAGCTAGGCTTTCGCAATGGCAGACGTGATTGGCTCCTCTTATCTGCGGTGCAGACAACATATCCGAGGCCTTTGATCGCATGGTCTCAACGCAGACGGAAGAGATGAGCGATGAGAAGTTCATGCCCCAGAGTGCACTCAAGGACAGCCTTTTTGAAAGCCTGAGATCGTCTGGGTGTTGAACGCGAGTTCGTAAAGTTTGCAGAGCAAAGGTTCGAAGCCGAGTATCTCGTGGATATGGGAGCGGCTGGCAACCCGGACTTCCTCGTTCTTCTCGGCACTTCGCTTGTGCTGGACTGAGGTCTCCGCTTGAGCGTGACCCAGCGCCAACGCCTTCTTCAACTGAGACATGCGCAATCCGTGTGTGGTGTGTGTGATACTTGCAACAGGCTGGATCCCCTCAAGATTCTTGTCAGCGTTCGAAAAAGGATAGCAGGTCACGAGTTGTCGGAACTTGAAATGCCAGTGGATCCATGCTGTATGTCTTCGGGGCAAGGCAACATTTGAGCCGTTGATGTGGCCGCTTTCTTTCGTGGAGGTCTTTCTGTTTTTTGGAATGTCGTGCACTTGCCGTCCCCTAAATTGACGGCGTGGTCCGTCAGCACCACAAAGCAGGGTGCGCTGGCACAGGAGCAGGAGTGGACTCGAGATCCATATTCACGGACATCTGGTAGAAGAGTCCCAGGATTGATTTTTCCAATTGGTTCCGAGATCTTCTGGTCAAGAGTGTCGATCTCGAGGTGCGGAGAAACCGGGTGGCAGTTAGTAGTAATTTTGCTCTGCGATGAAGCTTCCCAACCATGCTTCCCTTCGGTTGCAGCGCGAAATTGCAGGCTCGCTGCCGAAAGGCCCGCAAAGGAAGCCCCTCCTTTCCTACAGTAGTCACTAGTCGCTGTGCATGTTCAGCCGAAGTCGTGCGAGGGTTCCTCCATGCGACATGTGAGTCCCAGGACGCGGGGCCACAAACCTACTCGAAGGTAATCACATGCAATTCTTTCGGGAGGCATGCTGCCGTAGCTATGGCGGAAGCCTCCTCATCAGTGTTGACAACGAGGAACCCTTCGCTATGTCATTCAGTTCAGTTCAGCAGCTAAGAATGTTTAAAAAAAGTGGCTCGAGCTTCTTGGACCCGGCATTGAGCGTGTTGGCCCAACTACATCACTTGGGGGATTCTTGCTCCTAACTTACGGTTTGTATTGGGGTGTCGCTCGGGGGCCCCGGACATCGCAACCACTCCGGTGACCGATAAGCGTGGCACTGAAAGGTCCTTTTTGTCCTCATACACAGGACTCGGAAAAACCCCTGTTTCGAGTCCACTCGTGGGCACCTCATCTTGTTTTGGAGATACCTCGCACTCTTCCAACCGATGTATGCAAACCGCCACGGCAGTCAAAAGGGTTCCAAGAAGCCAGCTCGAGCAGTTGCGGCATACAAAGCGAACGGACCCAGGACTCAGAGACTGCGCCAAATTGCGCCTGTGGCACCTTTGAAAGGATGTTGTCAAAGCTTCAGGTTCGGGCATAAGTGTAGGGAAGAGAGAAGGTCGTGGATGTTGAAGGCGGTGTTGAGTCACAAAAGACAACGCAGTTGGAGATTCATCAGGCATCAGACATCACATCGCAGAGGATACATGGCACTGCAGAGGTTCAATCTCAGACTGGGTGAATGATATCCGCTGAAATTCAGCTGCATCGCCCAGTTCGGGCAAATGCCGCTGTATGACTCATAGTCCTACATCAACTGCCTCCTTTTGGCGGGGCTCGTAAGGCCAACTTGCAGCCAGCTACGCTGGAACTGCGTGCCTTTGTGGACTGTTTCCTGTCGTCGGCATTGAGAGAGAGTTAAAACCAAAAAAGTCGTAACATGTGTCAACGAGCTAGTTGCTCGCTTTGTGCATCTCAGCGCTGCAGAAAAGTCCTTTTGCACAGTGCAATGGGCAGTCTGGGCAAGGCATGCATGTCATTGGCATCATGTTTCTGCGCAATGGAGTACGCTTCTCTTTGCTGCGGTGAACGAGTCTGGTATCGTCCACTGTTCAGCAAGTGTCGTCGCGATTCTCGACCGTCCAGGTTCCGGTAGAACCCAATGGTATGCGTCGCGATTATTTGTGAGCCTTGCTGCCGCCACTGTCGGAGATGGCATGGATCTTGACTGATGTATTCGGGGCATCCTCATAAATGTTGCAAGGCATTTGTTCCTCTGGGTTTGTACATGGATCCAACTCTGGCTGTTTTGATATGTTTGGTTGTTGTCGCAGCCTGCGTCGCATGTTGCGGGGCACTTCCCAAAGCCCGAACAGCTTGTCTCCCATTTACACATGCAGCATGTTGGTTCGGGAGTCCCTTGTGACATTGATTTCCCTGTGTGGCAGCTTCTGTCTACAGGGCCTAAGGTCTGGGCTTCGGGTTCCGGTTTCTGCAGTTTCGGGCACAGTACCAAGATCGCCGTGGGCTCCAGAGTTCGGTCAAGAGTCTAGAGAGGCTGTAAGTTCACATGCAGCTGTGTTGAACTCTCTCATGCACTAAATTCGCATAGCATCCTGGATCATGAAGGTAATGTGCGC